CTACAAGAGGGCCCAAAACCTCATGTCACTTACCCCTATCACACTGATGTCTTTACTTCTGTTCACACCAATGACTCTATGGTAGGTTCCTGGTGACCATTGACAAAAAAGAAAAAGGTGGGGTCTGATTAACAGATACAAGTCAAAAATGGACTGCCACCGCTCTACAGCCCTACATGGCTGGCTCTGAAAGACAATGATGAGGTGAAAATTCTCTCAGTGGGTATGGTGAAGGGAGAAGTAAACAGAGAAGAAAAAACATGGACTCCCTGGGAATGGAGCATAGTATGGCTGACTGATTAGGGAAATGGAAGAAGCAAAATTATAAAATAAGAGACAAGGAATCTCGAGAACAGCCATGCTGATGGCACAAAGTGCCAATTTTTATGCTCTATGTTATGTCCACCACAAAGCACCAATAACAGAGGAAGCATTTAACTGCGTCCCAATTACATAGAGTAACTTATCACTGGCTATCAGCCAGCTTCTGCTCTTGGCAACCTCAATGTTTGACCAGCAGGGCCATGAGTGGAGGAGCCATAGTGACAGAGAGGAAGGCTTTACACAGGTCAATAGCATGGGCTCCTTCTTAGGAAGGTGACCTAATTAATGCCTGTGTGGGATGCCAACTGACACATGAGGGTGCAGAACTGACACTACAAATATGGATTTGCCTCCTCGCCACAGTGTACCCTATTGCCAGCACCATCATCACAAGGTTTATAGAGTATCTCATGGGGAATACCAACTATGGCCTCAGGGCTAGCTGCAGTAGTACTGGGGTACTAGAGCTTGTTCCACTAACCTCCTGTTTTAGAGATTTCTTTTAGCAATTATAACCAGTTACCACTTTAAAGGGTCACTGACAGAGTAGACATAATGGGACCTGGAGTAATCTAAGTAATAAAAGGTGTGGATTACAGCAGACACGCCTAGTATTCTGCAATAAATTCCTTCATTACACTATGGTGCACATTACTATGCACTGTCTGAGGGCATCTGACATGCACTGTGAGCCTAAGCACTGCTCTGTTTTGTTCCTCAGGGTGTTTCTCTAAATCTAAAGAAGACTACTCAGCAGTATATAGGCAGAACCACACAAATGTGAGAGTTAAAGCTCTAGGAGCAACCCTCAATTAAAGATGAAAGCCAGTGGGAAAATGCCCCAAGCTCCTTGTCCTTTGGTGGGACAATACTGAGATGCATTTAAAAAATCTCCAGGGTGATCAAACCACAGTTGCCCAGTAATAAATATAAATAGTTTATTAACACACTTTATGTAAATTTACTCTCTTCTCTGTCTCATTTCCCATTCTCTCATTTCTGCTTCTTTGGATGGCATCCCAAACAAATTACTCAGTCATGAGTCCTTTTCTCAGGCTCTACTTCAAATGAATAACCAACTAAGAAGAGATACAGTCAGAGCTCAAAATGAAGCAATTTGGCTCCCCTGTCCATGCTTTTAACAAGAGTATGTTGTCTCTTTAAAGAAGCAGAATGTGGTGCTGTATGTATAGGTTATTAAACATAAGTCAGAAGAAATAAACAAGTGTAGACAAAGCAACATGGAGAATCTTAACTTTCCAGTGTTGAGGAAAATAGTGGAAAAAGGGGGCAGGATATTTGCAGCAAAAATCTAAGTCAACTACATACACATACACACCGACATTATGTTCTATGAGGATGCACTCATTCAAATTAGAGTGGTTTCTTATGGCAGGAAGAGAGGAAAATGGAAATAGAGATCCAGATTAAAGGAGATAAAAATAAATCAATTCAGTGGCCTTATAAAGGATAAACATAGTTAATTGTACTGCCATAAACAAAGTCTGATTAAGTCAAGTTTCTGACCCACAGTTCAAAACAGAGAGAAAACAAAGGAAACATATTGTCACTACCTTAAATGGAAAACTAATGTTACTTGTCATAAATAGGAAGTTATAAAAATAAATATATAACTATGAACATTTTAAAACTCCATCTGTGTACTACCTGAACTCATTCTGAATAATACCAGTAGTACATACTCCACACTTTTGCAAACACTGTTGTTGAAACATTCTTATTGTGAAATAAGAATGCGAGAGGTCTTTAAATATAAATATGTCAATAATAAAATACAAATATTAATCAATTTGAGAGTTTAACTGGATTTATGTTAGAGAGGAAATAGCTTGGTAACAGTGCAATCAAAAAGCCTAACTTTCTTAACATGACTACTTTCCTTCCTCAATAATGTAATGTTTTCTGGTTTTACAGAATTTATAATTAGGAAACAAACAGTCACTACTTTATTTTCAATATACAGTGTTGGATATTTCCTAAATATTGCAAAGTCATAAATCATGAATTGAGTTGAAAATAAAAAAAACATCAAAACCATGCTTTTATATAATGAGGTTTTATATAATGAGGTAACTTATTACCTCACTACAATGTAGTTCTCTAAGGACATTACCATACTAACGCTTACTTGTTAATATAGAACCATCATATCACTGTTTAATGAATTTCTTCACAGGTCCCTAATCATTTAACAGTAATTCTACTAAAACAAGATACCATCCTTCATTAAGTGACAGATTCATACCTGTAGGAATACTTTAAACCTCCTTAAATTCTACTAATTCTTACACAGCATTTAAAACTATAGCAAAAGAGATAAATATGAACAGAAGAGCGTTTCTTTTTAAAGTGCTCTTCTAGAAGAGGCAGTACTTTGCTTTTTTCATACTATTTCCCTTTCAATATGATAAGGCTTGAAAAATAATGTATAAAAATATTTGTTGTATGCAAACAAATGAAGAGACCAATATAGTAGAACATTAATTTTAATATTTCTTTAAATTTACAAAATTCAGAATCCACAGGGTTTGAAGAATTACTTATGTTTACTATTAATGGTGGTCCATTATCCCTTCTATCCAGATAAAAAATGTGGGTATCATCACCTCTTTCCAACATCTAGCGACAAATCAGTGCCCTTCTGCCTTCATAATACCAATTCCATTTAGTCTTTCTTTACTATTTCCACTCTGATTAAATTCTGATTACCTCATGTCTAACTACTGCTACAACTATCTGAGCCCTGAATCCTCACTCCATTTCTCTAATGATATATGTTCATATAACACTGGTAGAGTAATTTACCTCAAATATAATTTCCTTTATGTCACACAAGACCTCCACCGTACTCCTACAGAAATATTCATTTTCTGTTAATCAGCTTTTCTAAAAAAATCTTTAATTCCTTCTTTAGCTAACCAAATTATACTCATCTTTCGAAGCCCAGCTCAAATAACCCCTCCTATTTCTATTTGTCCTTCTCAGAGTTATAGAACCCTGACTAGAAGTAATAACTTACTCCTTTGCTTTGCATCACTTTTACCTCGCACTGCTGGTTACCATTACCTGTTTTATTTATTTCATTTATACACCCATGTGTGTGCAAACACAAATTATTGATATGACTATAAACAGGATGGGGACCATGTTTTTTATCTTATGACACTGTCTTTGTGACTTGCTGTTACACAGTTTAACAGGGACCAAAAAGGTAGTATCACCCTGGCTGGTGTGGCTCAGTGGATTGAGTGCCCACCTGTGAACTGAAGGGTCATATGTTTGATTCCTAGTCAGAGCACATGCCTGGGTTGCGGGTGAGGGCCCCAGTAGAGGGTGCTCGAGAAGCAATGGCACATTGATGTTTCTCTCCCTTCAAGAAAGAAAGAAAGAAAAAGACAAGACAAGGAAAGGAAAGGAAAGAGAGAGAGAGAGAGAGAGAGAGAGAGAGAGAGAGAAAGAAAGAAAGAAAGAAAGAAAGAAAGAAAGAAAGAAAGAAAGAAAGAAAGAAAGAAAGAAAGCAAGCCTTTAAAAAAAAGTAGTGTCATACAGAACAAAAATAAGTGCTTTGGGGGCTTAACTAGAAGGAACATAATCTTAGAGTCAAAGTAATAGAGATCAGAAATAAACCTTAGGGATAAACTGGCACACTTGAAATGGATTTTTAGAAGTTGACAGGTCTTGCACAAGAGAGAGAAAGAACATGCATGCCAGGAGAAAAGAATAACATGAACAGAGAGGAGAGAAAATATAAGATAACTTCAAATCATTGGCTGAAAGGTATAATACATGAAGGGGTAGAAAAGAAGAAAATTAAACATTTGTTCAATAATCAATGCTTAAAGGTTTCTATAATTTTAGGTATGTTGATCCCTACCTTAATTAAGAGCATTACTTTTTGTTTAAAACAATTAAGAGTATCCTAATTGTCTCTCTGCTTTTGGTATCTCCCCCTTCCAAACTACCATTCATATCACTGACAGATTAATATTAACAAAACACAATTACAATCCAAAATACCTGTTAGAAATTTTCAAAGACAGCTAACTACTCAAAAAAATAAAATAAAATCTAAACTTCTAACCACGGCATTCAAAGTTCTTCACACTCAAGATCTTTCCAGCTTTGTCCCTCAAACCATCTCTTATATCATGAACTCAAACAATACAAAATATTTTCTTCTGTCTTTTGTGCATTCTCTACATTTCAAACTTCTCCTGCTTATGTTGGATTCTGTTCATGAAGTTCTCTTGCCTCTCAAATTCCACTCTGAAATCTTCTATTCACTGTTTTAAGATTCTACTCAGATGTCATTTCCTATGTTAAGCCTCCCTGATAATTTTCTCTGCTAACAATGTTGATGGAGCCTTTCTAGGTAATGTTACTACAGTTTTCAATTTCATATAGTACTTTAAAATGAGAAGTTTTGCCCTGACTGGTGTGGTTCAGTGAGTTGGGCGGTGTCCTGCAAACCACCTGGCTTCTTGGTCAGGGCACATGTCTGTATTGCAGGGCAGGTTCCCAGTTGGGCACGTGCGAGAGGCAACCTTTTGATGTTTCTCTCCCTTTCTTCCTCTCACCAACCCCCCAAAAATAAATAATTAAAAAATATTTTTTAAATAATAAGTTCCCTATTATTTTAAGAATTTTTTCCTTACCTCAGAGATGTGACTAGATAAAACTGTACCTCCAAGTTCCTCCAAACAGCTTTGACCTATGCTTCCATCTCATGAATTCCAAGACAGTGTTAAACTGATGCATATTTTCATAAATCTGTTTAGAAAAAAGGAACTTATTTCAGACTTAGAGAGCTTGTATTTGTTGCAATAACATGTAATAACAATATTAAAAATTCATCATGTGTAAAACTGTACATTTTCAATGTAAATTCAACCAAAAGTTCTACAGTATTTTAGAAATCTATCAGTTTACCATTTTTCCCTGTCTCTACACAAAGAAGCTGCCCATATAGAGTATTTCCAACTTTGCAAAGGTAATAGTAGTTCTACGGAAAAATATTACTCACATGTAAAATTTCTGAATTATCTCAGGCTTTTGAAAAAAAAAAAAAATCATCTCTTAAATCGAACAAACAGAATCAGCTAGAAGCAGCACTAAAATTTACAATTCTACAATATTCGGACACCTACTTAGGTAAACATATATTTGAACATCCAGCTAGTATCCCTATTTTCACTTTTTATCATAAAGTCTCAGTGCTAAGCACTCTTAATTTCAGTCAAAATACTACCTAGAATATTAAGAATTGTGAGGGCAAGAATTAATTACCTAGGTTACTACTGCCATTAATATCCTTTCTCATTAAGAGACAACGTTCATAAATCTGAAAGTTGGAAACAACTGAAAATCAAAAGAGATGGTGCTGTTTACCCAGAGATCTTAAAAATAAGTTCTTCAAATGTATCTTTTAACTAAAACTTCAAACAGCAAAGTATACTGTTTCATGTTTTACAAGGAAAAAGTTTAAGCTGTATGAACTTTACCTAAGTCCCACTGCAAGGTCAAAGTGCCTATTTAGGAAGTGTATCATGTAGGTCACACTGAGGTTTAGTAGTCTTGGCAATGACAACTAAATTCATGTAAACTGGGACAATGTGAAACAGTCTCCCACATGAGACAGCAGCCTTTCTTAGAGTCAAGAGATGCCACTCAGGCTTGCTAAATTGTGTGGACTGACACTGAAAGCAACTAGTAACAGTTTGTCTGTTAGCAGCCTTTAACAGTCAGTGTTCTCAATGACTAGGTTCCTACAATTTAACCAGATCCCAAATATTTTTCAGAGTACTCATAACTGTAAGGCACAAACTATCACTCAGAGAAATGTAGGTAGGGCAGTGGTGTAGATTTGGTCTTTAGCTTTTTTAAATTATTTTTTTCTAAGATAGTCTTTAAATTTCCCTTATACTAATTTTAAAAATAAATGCACTGTGTTTCCATTTTAGAAATGGCATAAAGATTTTCCTATAAATCCACTATTTGCCAAGAACTCCACTCTTCCCGAAAGGAGTGTATAGAAGAGAGGGGAGGCAATCAAACTGACCTATTCTCATGAAGTTTAAAACAATCCATTAAAGTGACTATGTTTGATAATATATGGTATGATTCTAATTCTACCAGATTATTTTCAATGAATGAAATAATAAATAAAATGAACAGCAAACCACTTAACAACTACTGTTTATTACAGTATCCTTGGTGTGAAACGTTTCAAAGCTAAATCTAAAGTTAAATCTAAATCTAAAGTTAATAATAAAGGAAAATACATAAACAAAAGAATCTTCAAATATATCATCTTCAAAGTCCTGAATCATCTATCCACTCTCTATTCTTCTACATGTACAAATACATAACAAAACATAAACTTCAGAAAACCTTTTCTAAAGGCTAAATTTAAGACCAACTAAGTAAGATTTGGCTTCATTGCTACTAAGTAAATAAAATACAATCAAAAGGACAGGATGTGCTTCACATAATGTACAGGTCTGCAAATCACATTTTGCATACCAGAAATTCTATGAAAAAAGTAAAGCTTTCCCTAACTTTGCAGTATAGTGCTATGGTCCTATAAGCAGAAATCTATAAATACATACAGGTGTAAAAATAGGGTTTACATAGGCAAAATGTGCCCAACAACTTTAATCACTTAACTTATAATTTACCACAAGCTTTTAGCATATGAACTTGTGTTTAACCACCACAAGGGATCCAGTTAAAACTGAATATTACAGAAGTATAAGTAATAAAATTTTCTTTAAATTTTTTATTTATTTCTTGATATTCTGGAGAGATGGGGCTGGAGAGAAAAACATCAACTTGTTGTTTCACTTATCTATGCATTCCTTGCTTTATTCTTATATGTGCCCTGACCAGGGATCAAACCCACAACCGTGGTGTCGGGACAACACTCTAAACAACTAAGCTACCCAGCCAGGGCAAGTAATAAAATTTTCATCAAGGATTTTGTCTGAAATTTTCAAGCCTGTAAGTTATAGAAAACACATTAAGGAAACGGCACTTTACTTTGCCGTGTATAATGTACACTCCTTTGCCCAAATTGTTGAGGGAAAAACAAGGATGCACGTTATACATGGGTAGTACCTGAAAAACCTTGTATCTGTTCCTGTGTTTTGTGATTTGTTACATAAAATTTCTTGTACACAGTATGTTCAAAAATAAATGCTAAAATTCCTTTATAATACAATAAACATGTATCTAAATATAAATTAAAAACTGAATTAAAAAATTAAAACAAAAGATTTTTTCCAGAAAGTTTGGGCCAAAAATGTGGGTGCACATTATTCACAGGAGCACATTAGACACAGCAAAAGATGGCAATTCTAAAAACACATCTGAGCTTCCTAATGATTTAGAATTCATGAAAATCAAATCTTTCTAGATATAGTGTAATATTTTGTAATACTCAGGAAGCATCTGCAAACAAATGGGAAATGTTCATTTTAACCCCATGTTACCTTTACAATATACCTTCTTTTGCCATCAAAATGTACACATCCTTCTAGGTTCTCAAAATTATTAAAGTGGTTAAACCATTGAGGTGTTTTAAAAATTACTAACTAGGGTGCCTTAAAGAGCCCATCAGTGACAAACACTAATTGTGGATAGTATAGCTATCTTTGGCTCTATATTAGAATGTCACCCATCAACTCTGATATGTACAATTTACTTTATAGAAAAGGGTAGCATAAATAGGCTTTTGATGAATATACTAAGTCTAAGACAAAATTTAAGATAACTTATGAGTTTGTATCTGATATCAAAAAATAGATTTCTTAGTATTCACAAAATGAACAATATTGACTATACATTTCCCCTCCTATTCCAAATCCCTTCTTCCTCATCTTCATTTTCCTTCTCTTAGAACCCATAAAAACTACCTCATACATACTGTACAAATACTGCTGTAAACACTACAACTGCTTTCATGTAACTTTTAAAAAAAACAAGAACCAAATTACGAAATAGTATTTTACAAAACGTTTCATTTGGCACTTAAACTAAAGGTCTTACTGTTATATCCTTTGGCACATTAACTGGAAAATTCAAACATTATGCTTCAGAAAAACATACTTTTATATGTAAGTTACTCAAATAAATAGTATAATTTAGGTTAGTTTATCAGGTACTTCTATAATAAAGCATGTCAGCCACATAACACAAAAAAAGGAAGTTCAAATTTTGAACAGGCTTTGTTCTAAATGTTCTGGAAGATTCAACTGAATATAAGCTTGATTTTGAAACTCAAGATGCCTTTTCTCAGAAAACCAAAGATATATAAAAAATGCTTTTAAACCCATAATACAAATCAATTTTAATGCACAATTCTATCACAGCACTCTTCTGCTTATGCATCTTTCCACACCAAACTCTAAGTTTCTTATTCACTGCTATATCCTAGAATCTAACATAGGAGATGACACAAAGTAGAATTCCAACAAATATTAGCTGATCTGAAGTACTGAATAACAACTCAATAATATGAAACTGAGTTGTCTAGAAAACTTTATACTCATCTGAACTACAGCAGAGAACCAAAATGCAAAGCAAGCAGAAAAAGCTTCTTCCAAAAGAGATAGGAGGAAAATATGCTTAACACTGAGGTTAGAGTACTCTGGTCTGAGTCAAATGTGGCAATTTCCATTCCCTCTTGCCAATGAGTGGTGTAGCAATAAGCATCTGATGCAATTCCGGCCAGTAAGACAAGAGACTAAGTTTGCTGGGAAGCTTCTGGGAAAGGTTTTACTGGCCGATGAAAAAAATACACAAAGATAAAAACATCCACTTTTTTTCTGAGCAATTCTGGGTTTGAGTGTATCAAGCAGAATTATGGCACCCATCTTAGTATCACTGAGTAAGGACACAGCCTCAGAAGACAACCCTCTGATAAAACATGCACTAAAAGGTAGAAAGAATCTGGGTCCTTAGCAATGTTTTTTTTTAACTTAAAAAAAATTTCATTGATTTATTTTTAGAGGGGGGAAGGGAGGGAGAAAGATAGAGACATCAATGTGTGTGTGCCTCTCGCACACCCCTCTCTGGGGACCTGGCCCACAACCCAAGCATGTGCCCTACACTGGGAATTGAACCTGCAACCCTTTGGTTCTCAGGCCATTGCTCTATCTACTGAGCCACACCAGCTAGGACAGCAATGTTCTTATGTTTTAACAAATTAATCCTTGAACCATTTTTATAAACTTGGATCTTTTTATATTACATCAAATCCTTTTACGGTTTAAGCAATTTTCAATTATCAGAAGTAACCCAGCGGAGACAGTGACTTAAGAACAAATACACCATTAATTTCCATGAATTCAATTGCTATGTACACAATAATAACTCCCCTAAATTTACATCTCAATCCAGATCCTTTTGAACTAGATACATATTTCCAAACTACCAAACAGCTATATTAAATATATTCTCCAGTGGCACATTAAGAGAACAGGAATAATAAGCCATTACAAAAATTGTTTACGCACCGGTATTCAGTTTTCTGGCTAATGACAGTACCATCTACCCAACTGTTTAAGTTTGAAATCTTGGGATCACTAGCCCACCTCCCTCTAAGTCACCTATTATATTCAGGCAGCCAAGTATGAAAATCACTAAAACTTACCAAATGCTGCCCATTCTAACTCTGATAGTTCTTTAAAACTTGTCTCCCTTATTTCTATGCACATTTAGTGCAGTCTCTCATCTTCATGTAGCCCACCTCCACTAGCTTCTTCCACTGT